ATAATCACAGCATCTACCTAGAGTAGTCACTTGCTTTATTTTCTTTCATAGTTCTATTTGACACAGTTTTACTTCCTTGTTAATTCTGTTTTCTTAGTGAAATGTAAAACTCCTTAAGAGTGGAAACATCTGTTCAGCACTATTCTCAATACCTGGAACAAACACTGCCTGACACAAAGTAAAATGAATGAAGAAATGGTTGGTTTTCTCTACCACTTTTTGACATGTAACTCAAGTTTCTCTTTAGAGTTTAGAATCTTTTATGATCTCAGAATTATCATTTCTAGTTATGATAATGATACTTTCATGAGAAGTTAGAAATTGTTTTATATACTAATAATATTTGTTTGCAGTTTATAAATTTAATTCACTTGTCTTTATTCTTCCGTGCTTATTAATTTACTTGTCTTTATTCTTCCATGCTTATTTCTGTTTCGAGAAATTGTATAGAGACTTTATTGGAAAACCTTTTGTTATTTTGTCAAAGGTGACATAACTTAAACATCTAAGAGTTTAAAACAGTTCAGGTTAATTATTGAATGTGCCGATGATAAATTTGATTAATCTAAATGTATTTGTTGAATTGTGCTGAAATTTTTGAGGATAGCTGGATGCTGTTTTATTGCTAGTTTTTTGGAAATGTGTACTTATTTCACTAGTTTCCTCAAAATTATTCTAAATTCTGAGGAGTCTGAAAGGATCTATGCCTTAGAGATTTTTGGAGGTATTGTTCATAGTTGGACACAGGCAAAAACAGATGTTTCATTTGTAGTATATTTGCGTATACCTATTTTGTATATCCTTTCATCCTAGCCATGAAAGATCCTGGGACCTGAAATTTCCAAGATGCCTGCCATTTCCTGTAGGTTAAGAAGTAAAATGTGGAAAAAGATACCATCAAAGTCTCAAAAAGTTATCAAAGATACTTAGATTTGTAATGACTTTTATTGTTTCTTGGTTCCTTGCTGAGAGTGTGGGAAGAAAGAAAGGGAACTTTTGCTACTTTATTCATACATACTTGCAAAACCTATTCTTTAGTGTGATCTGTAATATGGATCTCAAGTCTTGTTTGTTTTGTTTTTGAAAACCCCATCCTAGTTATATTCATATAAACTTCCAAAAACTTTTCTTTAGTGTGATCTCTAATTTTTTTTTTGTTGTTTTTAAAAATCCACCATAGTTATATGTAAGTCATTACATTTTCTTTTTTGCCACAGTGCTCTTGAGCATGTCTATTTCCAAATGCTTTTTATCCCCTGGGCACTCTTTAAATAATGACTAAATGACTATTCAGATACACATAAAGACTCCAGAGAGTTGTGCTTTCATGGCTGTGGTGTTTTCATGGAGCTACGGGTAGGGGAAGAAATATTCTTGTCTCTTCCTCTAAAAGAATTATAAGTTCAATTTAATTGATTAGCTAATGATACAAAACTTGTAAATCAAATAGACTGAGCAGAAACAGAGCATCTAATTTTATCATGGTTTTCCTTATCTCCTGGAGTGTATAAGTAGCCAGAAACACCTTATGACAAGGTTAGTGTCTTGCTACATATGAAAAGAAGGATTTTATTTTATTTTTTAGTTGAGGTCTTACTCTGTCGCTAGACTACTGTGCAGTGGCATGATCATAGTTTTTTTGGGTTGCATGGAGATATGGTTAGAAATATCCCTCACAGGCTATTCTAATACTACTTGCCTTAGTCAGCTGGGCTGCTATAACAAAATACCACAGACTGGGTGGCTTAAAAAGTAGACGTTTATTTCTCATAGTTCTGGAGACTGGGAAGTACAAGATGCAAGTGCCGGCAGATTCAGTTTCTGAAGAGGGCTGTCTTCCTGGATTGCAGATGGTTGCCTTCTGTCTGTGTCCTCACATGACCTGAAGACAGAAAGAGAGGGATGAGTTCTGGTTTCTCTTCCTTTTCTTATAAGGACACTAATCCTGTCATGAGCACCCCATCTCACGACTTTATCCAAACCTAATTTCACCCAGAGGCACCTCTATATGCTTTCACACTAAAATTAGGGCTTCAGCATACGAATTTGGGGGGGAACAGCAGTCCAATATTGTTTCTCTTATCTTGTCTTTTTTTCTATTTTCTACTTCCCACTGATGGGATAAAGTAAAAATTTACTTTACTTTAAAAGATGATCTTTCTGTAATATTCTATTATCTAACTTTCTAGGAATAATTAGTGTCATTTTACAAACTGTAAGTACAGGCAATATGTGGCTAATTTTTTACTTTTACATCTTCAGTCTATCTAGATTTTTTTTAATTTAGCACTTGTCCTTTCAACATTTCTTAACTAATTTATTATTTCCTCATGCAGACAAAATATTAGCTTTGTTGTATACCATATTCTATTATATATAGATTTTTTTGTGTACTTTTGTTTTATGATACTGAAACCAAACTTTTTATTATTTTTATTTAATATTCCCCTCTTTCATTTGGCCATTGTTGTTTTTGAAATATTTCTTGTTTTTGAAATATCTCTAGTCTTTTTTTCCCATACTTTTTAAATCATTGAATTGCATTGAATTTATGTATGAATATGGGGAGAATTGACATGTAAATAAGTTTTCCTACCTAAGAGCTTCTGTATATTCAAGTCAATGAGGTTTATAGCTTCTTTACAATTTTATTCTTGGGTGTTTTAAATATTAATGTTTACAAATACTAGTTCAAGCTTTTTCTGCAATGAGTTTGTAAAGAAGTCACCTATAATATGCTGATTATATAGTTTAAATACATTTTGCATGTTTTATAAACAACCACATTATTCTAATAACCCTTCACTTGACATTCTTGGATTGTTCAGGTAATAGATTTTTTAAATAATAATTTTTTTCTGTTCCTTTCTAATATGTATCTCTCCCTATTTTTTTTTCTTACTGCACTGGATTGTAACGATAGTTGCACCATCTTGTCTTGATCTTTTCTTTAATTGACATGCCCCTTTTTCTACTTTAGTGTGATAATGGCCACTGATTTGAGAAGAATCTATTTCATTGTTAAGAATCTTTTTTTCAGGAGTTAGATTTTTTTTTTTAATTGGATAGTCAGTTAAATTTTATTAAATGCCTCCTATCATCAAATGAGAAGCTTGTGTGAGCTTTCAATGTGGTGAATGGTATAAAAATATTCTTACATTCTTAGAATAGTCCTACTTGGTTGTATATTTATCTTAAATACAGAACTGGATATTATTTGTATATTTTCTGCTTTCATGCCAGACTTGTGATAAACTGCCAAAATACATTAGAATTTTTTCACATTTTATGTGTCTTAGATTTAGTAATTATATTTGATAGCAGGATAGTGCATGAGTAAATATTTCAGGCTTATACTATTTTGGAGTAAAGGTTAAAAAAAACCAAAAAATCTTTTTATTCCACAGCTGTTAAGTATAGTCATTGTGAATTGTCAGTCCTTTTCTGTAATATCCTCAATCACCTTTTAAGTGGTAATGTTTGCCTTCTATTTTGCTATTTTGTTTTTGTTTTTTCCTCCAAAAGGGTTCATGGAAATAATATTATGTAAAGTTTTTGTTGTTGAACATGTTTGAACATTTATTAAACACATTTTTCTTGGTGTTTTTGTGATTCTCTTTTGCATTTTGTATTCGTTTGAAAATATTAAACATTGGTAAATTTTAAAGAAATTGTTTACTATTTATACAGTTTCCATTTTTGAGTGCTGATTTTGGTTTACTTTTTAGTTTGAGTGTCTGTGTTTCTTTATCAGATCATATATGTAAGTGGTAAATGCTCTAAGGACTTGTTATATATATGTGTTCTAATTTACTTATCAATTAGTAATATCTTACTTGACTATAGTATCCGTGAATATTAGTTTTATTTCCCGCAAGGCAACATAAGGTTTTTTTTTTTTGAGTTGGAGTCTCTGTCGCCCAGACTGGAGTGCAGTGGCCGCTCCCGGCCACCGCAGCCTCGACCTGCTGGGCTCCGGCGATCCTTCCACCTCAGCCTACCGAGTAGCCGGAATTACAGGCGCGCGCTACCACGCCCGGCTGATTTTTTGATTTATTGTAGAGATGAGCTCTTGCCTGCCCAGGCGGGTCTCAAACCCGCGGGCTCAGGCCATCCACTCACCTCAGGCACGGGATTACAGGCTGAGCCACCGAGCCCGGCTGACAATGTAAGTTTTGCTTCACTGCTTTTAGGAATGAAATAAGTATCATATGGAAGAAATTTGATGTCATTTCATTTTAACTTTTGCTTATGGAATTTTTTCTCTTCACCGTGAAAAAGAAAAAATGATTTCACATTTGTATATGGATTCTTTATTAATATTTTCTGGCAACTAGTCTGTCTTAAAGGATTTTTTAAATAGGAACTTGATATGGAGATTCCTCCACATGGAGATACTCTGACGTTTTATTTGGTTTAAAAGATCCTACGTGCATAAATACCTATTCCTGTGTAAAAAATTACCCCAAAACTTAGTAGTTTAAAACAATGTGCATTTATTATCTCTCAATTTCTGTGGGCCAGAAATCCAGTCATATCTCAGCTGTCTTCTTCAGAGTCTCATAAGGTTTCAATTTGTCACCTAGGGCCAGGAACTTCTGTGAAGGCTTGAGTCAGGAAGGTTCTTGCAAACTCTTGGTCTCACTCTAGTAGTTTTCCTACTGCAACACATAATGGCAGGCATTTATTTGATAGTTAGTTTTTGGATCTTCTATCCGGCCCAGAGAGCATCTAGTTCTTCTCATTTCTTTTTATTCAGTATTGTGTGTGTGTGTGTGTGTGTGTGTGTGTGTGTGTGTGTGTGTGTGTGTGTGTATCCGGCCCAGAGAGCATCTAGTTCTTCTCATTTCTTTTTATTCAGTATTGTGTGTGTGTGTGTGTGTGTGTGTGTGTGTGTGTGTGTGTGTGTGTGTGTGTGTGTACACCTGCAGAGTGGGGAAGGGGAAGGAGGTAAAATGATCATGTGTTAGCATAACTTTTTTCTTTCTTAATAACCATAGTATTTTTTCTTCCATAGGTGCCTTAGCTGGACCAATTATTGTGGAGCCACATGTCACAGCAGTATGGGGAAAGAATGTTTCATTGAAGTGTTTAATTGAAGTAAATGAAACCATAACACAAATTTCATGGGAGAAGATACATGGCAAAAGTTCACAAACTGTTGCAGTTCATCATCCTCAGTATGGATTCTCTGTTCAAGGAGAATATCAAGGAAGAGTCTTGTTTAAAAACTATTCACTTAACGATGCAACGATTACTCTGCATAACATTGGATTCTCTGATTCTGGAAAGTACATATGCAAAGCTGTTACATTCCCACTTGGAAATGCTCAGTCCTCTACAACTGTAACTGTGTTAGGTAGGTGTGGTTGAGTTACTTATTTTGATGATAGTGGTGAAGATTATAATGGAGTATTTTCAAGGATTTAAAATTATTGAAATATTATTTAAATTTAGGTTAAAGTAAAATAATTCAAATAAGATTTTTCAAATTCTGTCTTAAAATTATGATTCGAGGCTCTTAATTTAAACAAAATCTTGTCTGTATGTCCACTTATCTGTATAATGCTACATAGTTTTAGCTATTTTACTTTCTTCATGAAAGACAGTGGAGGGTTTTAATTATAATTATATACTTCATGCTGAATTTCTATGATATTTTTATAAAACTCCTCTCAAATTTTCAACTTTTAATTAAATTACAATTTTTAGGGTTTTGTTTCCATTAAAAAAATAACTGAGTTTATCTTTTTGGAACTATTGACACATCATATTTTAACTTTTCATGTCAAATTGTATTACTGCTCTTTTGAATTTATATAGCTATTTGAATTGTGTGCTGTTGAAGATAATAATAATATTCCATCCTTTCCTGTCTGATAGCTACTAAAAAGTTTATGGTAATAGGTTGAATAAGCTTATTAGCACGAAGATAACCACTTGCAGTGAAATGTAAGCCAGTTTGGAAATGCTGATAAGTATTTTTGGGATAACAGATCAAGAATTAAGGGGTAATAGCAACCTGCGACTGACATGGAGATACACTGCTCAGATTCTCTTTCAAAAAGACTCACTGCCCAGCTCCTTACAGCGTGGTTAGCTGACAGAAGATTACTTCAGTTTTTGAGCTCAGGCCCGTTAGCTGACAGAAGATTACTTCAGTTTTTGAGCTGAGGCCCGTGACTGAGCAAGACAGTGGTAGCTGAGGGCAAGCTCTTTTGGGGGCCAGTGACTGAACAAGGTAGTGGTATGGAGACCTTGCCGTTTTCAACCAAAACGTACTAGGGACTCCTTTAATGGGAGTCTTTGTTCATTTGCTTGATTGCTAATAGCTTCCCTTACTCAGTTCTTCTTTACTTTTTTTCCAGATGTTACTCCCTAATAAACCTTTTGTACTCCTCACTTGCTTCCCAGAGAACCAAACAAATGTACAGCCCTTGTATTTAAGGACATAACACTAGGGTCTCTGAAATATAGGAAAGCAGTTTTGTCTGAATTTGTTATATAGTATTTTATGTTAAGGGATACTATTTAAAAATGAAAATAGATATTTGAGGACTTAATATGTCTAAGTCACTGTCCTGAGTGCTTCGAGGAAATACAGCTTGCATTTAAGGATTGGTACTTTTGAGAAATTTTCTGATGAGAATGCAGGGCATAAATATCTGAAAAATTAAGTGGACATTGGTTGAAAAAAGGTCACACAAAGTTCTGTATCAAGACAATAGTAGATAAAAAGTTTGTATTTGAAAGACTGAGCTCATGGAGATAAAATCACTTTTTATTTTACTTTAAGTTTTAGTAGTTCCTCTAAATTAATGCAATACTAGTTGGACTAAAACTTAAAAATGTTTATGTTACGAGACTAGTCATGATTTTGCCCATGCCTACTTCTCTCGCTTCATCTATTCCATCCCTTCCTGCTTCTCTTTCAACGTTCAAATCTTATGATAATAATAAAACTATTTGCAATTCTCTTGACATATGTTTTTTTGTGTGTTTCTCCTTCTGCCTGAATTGACTTCTTTTTGTAATCTTTGTTCCTATATTCTTCTGTGTAACTGTTCATCAAATCATATTCTTCCAGATGCCATTCTTGACCCTTCCACATCTGATGCTGTTTTTGCTTTTTGTCATTGTATCTTGAGTATATCTTTGTTGTGACAGTTAGCTGTACTGTTATATGATTTCTCCACTATAAACATTTGATGGACAACAGCTATGCCCTTTAAAACTTAACTTTATATCCCGAAAGCCAATAAGAGATACTAGTATATAACAACCATACAATATTTGAGTAGAATATGGGGATAGATTGGTGAACTTGGTAGTCAAGAAATGTTTTGTAAAAGAAGTAGTTGAACTGATCTTCAATGGTAGGCAGATAAAAATGAAATATTCTAGGATTGATATGTGAGTCGAGGCAGAGGAGAAGAAACAATATATAGCTGACCCTTGAACAACATGGTTTTGAACTGTGTGGGTCCACAAAAAAAAAATGTGATTTTTTTTTAAACATAGAAACTACAGTATTTGTGGGATGCAAAACCCGCATATGCAGAGAGCTTACTTCTTCTGTATGCAGATTCCTTAGGGCTGACTGCAGGACTAAGTATGTGCAGGTTTGGGTATACCCAGGGGTCTTGGAACCAGTATCCCCTGTATACTGAGGTACAACTGTACTTAAGACAGAGTTTCCGTATTTCCAGCATTGTTGAAATTTTGGGCTAGAATTCTTTGTTTTGGGTGAGCTGTCCTATTCCTTTGCACACTAAATACCAGTAACATTTCCTCATTTATAAAACTCAGGATGTTTCCACACATTGCCGAGTGTTCTTTTGGAGAGATGGGAAGTAGGAAAGAACCATCTCCTGTTGAGAACCCCACATTAGTGGAAGACTGAATAAATAATTTAATGATTATTCAGAGGATTTATATAAAGTACAAGAATTAAAGTCTGGAGGGTAGAGTAGGACCACATGGATGTAACAAGTGCTAGGATGGGGAAATTGAGCTTTATATTCCTGGAAATTCAAATTTATTGCATTGGATATGCTTCCTATCTCTTGTCTACTCTCAGGTCCTTGCTGTCTAGCCTTTTGCACTTGGATGTCCCCTTTGAGGGGACACATAAATTTAGCAAACCACTTGAATGTCCCCTCTGAAGGGATATTGTAAATCTAAGAAACCACTCAGAAATCCCCTCTCAGGGGACATAAAGAGATTGCTGGTGATTATACAGAACAAACTTATGCCAGCGCAGATGTTTCAAAAAATGCATATTTCCTTGAAGTTTTCCATTCAAATTGCATAAAAAAGCAAATAAAGAGATGGAATATATACTGAGATATACATTAAAAAATATCAGCTGGCTTTTTATAGAAAGAGAATATGTGAGGTGCTTTCACAGTGGTGCTAACAGTTCTTTGTATCAGAAGTTAGTGGAAAAGAGCATTTATATAAGAAAGGCAGCTGTGAGTATACCCTTCCTATCATATGGCATAACTTGGAAAGGTAGATAAGCAAGTTACTATAACCTTAAAAAGAGACTTTCAAAGTGGAAGGCAGATTGTATTGAAGTACTGAATAGCACAGGTCGATTATATCTATCTGCACTAGTCAGAACAGTAAAATTGGAAAAGTAATATTCTTTTGATAAATTTCGTTTCGTGATTTCATAATTTACAATTAGAAGATTTTATCCATTTATTTAATTTGCAGAACAATGGTAAAATGAAAAGACAAAAGTGAGAGTTACAATATAAGCAACAGCGAAGATAAGTTAGATTTAGATTTTTATACAGATAAGTTAGAAAAAGTAAACATCAGAGTAGAAGAAAACGATAGTAGCAATAGTGATACCATTCCACCAAAAAGAAAATGGGCAAATGTAATAGAAGTGATAGCGGTGAAAGTGTTAGTAGTTTTGAAGAAATAGAAGGCAACGGATCATCAAGAGAAGAATGGGAAGATGTTACAGAAAAAGATGATCCCCCAGTGAGAATAAAATTTGTTGTATATCCTCAAACAACAGGACCACAAATAGCAAGTAATTAAGAGAACTGATCATATATCTTACTCTGTATTTGACAAATGAATTAGTGAATAGTGTAATTAAAAGAAACAAATGGTTGTGCAGATTAAAAAGTAAGGAAAAAGCAGCTGTCACACAAATCAATTTGGCCTAAGTGGCATGATGTTGACTAACAGGAATTTTTAGATTTTATCGCAACTTTTATCCTAAGTATGGGAATAATTTAAGTACCAAATTTGCAAGAGTACTGGTCATCTACTTTCAGTAGTAAAATATTCTTCTTTTCGGAAACATTCAGTAGAGAAAGTTTTATGCAAATCTTCTGGATGCTTCATTTGAAGACACCTGCATCAAGGGATAGGACAGTCAGAACTCAACATTCAAAAGACCAATATCTGTTTGGAATACATTGATGCAAAATTTTCGTAATATTGTCATACCAGATTAGGCAATTTGTGTTGACGAACCCATTGTTCAGTTTAAAGGGTGAATGTCATTTACAACATACAATTCAAATAAGCCTACCAATTGGGGTATACACATTTATGTACTAGCTGAGTCAAAAACAGGATACCTTTTTTTAATACTTAACTTCTATGGAAGCATAATATCCGAAAACATTATTTGACTTGTTCTTCCAGTAAGCACCAGCATTCCATTATATTTACATAATAAGTTTTGGGGAAAATTTCCCAATACAGCAAGATACTACATGTTTATTGATAGATATTATATGAGTATTGTCCTAGCCAAAGAACTATTAAAGATGAAGTGCCATCTTACTGGTACAGAGTCAACCGAAGAGGAATGCCAGCCAAATCAAAAAGCCAACGTTCTTAATGAAAAAAACAGTAGCATATAGGAAAAATAATCTTACGTGTCTTGGGTGGAAGGACGAAAGGATTAGTACAATTCTCAACACAGACTACCACAAGGACATTACAGGGTGGAAATATTATATCAGTCAAAAAGCCTGAATTGATTCTAAATTATATTGTAAATATGGGCGGTGTGGATCATGCAGATCAATATACTTTTGCATATCGTTTTTTGCGAAGATCTTTAAAATGGTGGGGAAATTCTTCTGAAGACTAGAACTGTGTGTTTTTAACTTCTATATATTGTACTGAGCATAAAAAAATGAAAAGCCTTTGTCCCATCTGAAATTTGTCAAGCTTCTGATCTGCCATTTGAGAAGTGATTTTTAGGACTCAAGTGCATCCTTCCACATTGTCTTCAAACAACAGATTGGACAATAAATTGCATACTATTAATGTGAGAGGAAGAAAGTGCAACTGCACTATCTGCTCGAAAAGAAAAACACCAGGTGTAAGACATAAAACAAATTACTGTTGTACAACATGTATCGATGAATCTGCAATGCATGTCAGGGACTGTTTCACACATTACCACAGGTTAGAAAAATATATAAGATTTGGATTTTTTTGTCCTAAATAAGTTCCTCAAGGTCCAAAATTCCATTATAAGCCAAAGATCATTACAATAAAATCATTGGTTCCAGTGCTATGCTATTTAATATGATTAGTTTTTTACTATTTTGTAAAAAAGTACAATCAAGTTGCTGATAGGTGATCCACGAGATGTCTCTGAGTGCAGAGGGTTTAAATGTGGTTCCTGGACCAACAGCATTGGTATTATTTGTTAAAAATATAGAGTGTCATACCCCCTCTGACTTAATTGAATGATAATCTACATTTTAGCAAGATCCTCCAGTGGTTTGTATGCACAGAGAAGTTTGAGAAACACTGCTTTGATCACCTTCTCGCCTCACTTAGAGGAATGCCTAAGTTATAGCTGATCTGATTTGGAGAGTATTATGTTGGGAGTTGTGATTTAGGAAGATTTGTCTCAGCCGTGAGGCCATGATGACTTCAAATTAATTTTCTAGTTTCTGCCACTTGAGTGAAGAAGGGAACTATTACAAAGGAATAATTAGAGATTTTGTTAACTGATTGGATATAGGCAACATGGGAAGTTTGAACAATAACAAGTTTTGAAATTTTGTGATTATGTTACCATTAAGTAAATGGGCACATCTGAATGAAAAATAGGTGTTGGGATTGAGAGGATAAAATGATGAATTCAGCATAGGTTTATTGAATTTGAAGATCTGTGGTTGAAAATACCTGGTAGGCACTTAGAAACTGAGGAATCAAACCTTGTGTCAAAATTGGAGAACGTTCAGGATCATCTGGGTAGCAGCGTTTATCAGATAAGTTTTTAAGTGAGATATAGTTGTATCCTAGGCATATATATTAGGGCAGGGGTTAGAAGAAAGAGATAAAGAGCTTCGAGAGAAATGTAAGAAGAACTTGAGCAGAGTAATATTATTCTTATCAAGAGAAGATATGAAAGTCTTTTTTAAAAGATTACTCTAGTAGTTATTTTTCACAGTAAGAGCTAAGCCCTATGGGAGATGATTTGACTTTTTTTCCCCGGTTCTCCTAAGGATGTCACATAGCTGGTATTCTAAATGCATAGCCTAGAAGCCAATTCATTACAATAGCTACCTTAACACATTAGGACTTAATTATTTTCAACTGATTGAGAAAAAAGTGTGTGGAAGTAGCAAATTCTACAAGGTTAGTTAAAGATAATAAGACATAAAGTATTGTGTTTGTAGATTAGGGGTCGTTGGTGACATTACAGTTTCAATGAAATAGTAGCAGAAACCAAATTAAGAGGATGTGATATTTGTACCGTATAATAGAAACCAAATTAACAGAATGTACCAACAGATATTGGTACCATGTAATAAAAAAGAGCTTTCATTTCATAAAGGAAATTATAGCCTTTGTAGAAATTTTTTGTATGTATCAATTTGGAGAGAATTTGTCTTTACATCTTTATCTGAGAGCCATATTTGTAGTGGTTATAGAAAATCTTGGCCTCTTGCTTGCCCTAACTTAATGATCTTTTATTTTTGCAAGAATGTAGTTGATGATGGCAGTACCTAAAAAGTGTGTGTAGATTTTATATTCAGTTTTCTCTAGCTTGTGAAACATGTCCAGATATAACTTGGAAGGATGTAAATATATTCCTGTTTGAATGTAACTAATTCTTTTTACAAAATTCACACAGTTGAACCCACTGTGAGCCTGATAAAAGGGCCGGATTCTTTAATTGATGGAGGAAATGAAACAGTAGCAGCAATTTGTATCGCAGCCACTGGAAAACCAGTTGCACATATTGAGTGGGAAGGTGATCTTGGTGAAATGGAATCCACTACAACTTCTTTTCCAAATGAAACGGCAACGATTGTCAGCCAGTACAAGCTGTTTCCAACCAGATTTGCTAGAGGAAGGCGAATTACTTGTGTTGTAAAACATCCAGCCTTGGAAAAGGATATTCGATACTCTTTCGTATTAGACATACAATGTAAGTAAGTGATGGCATTTGCTTTTTAGATATTAGTCGTGCATTTACTTTATTTTCTTCCATTGACATATCCTTTATCACACTGTTTTTTGTAGGAATACTTAGTATTCAGATATTTCTATAACTTTTCCTTGTTTATATTGTTTTAAAACACTTTTTTCTTTTTTTGTTTATATTTTCATGGAAGTTTAATTTAACCAGAACATTTCTTATCAGTTTTTTGAAGATACTCTTAAAATTATGTAGCCTCATCCTTTTAAAATCTTAAAAGTAGCTGAACTTAAGGAAGTTGAGAGAAATTTTTACCTCAAAATGTGTAATGCTTAATGACAAACAACTTCTCCATTCTAATTATTTGAACCTGTTACTCAGTTTTATTAATGCTATCCATGCTGTTTTCATCAAGAATCTTTTACTTTCAAAGATGCATATTAATCAGCTTGAAAACCTGTATTTTTTAAATATTATTTCTAATCTGATCTTATTGATCATGTTATAAGAGTCTCATTAAGTAAATGGTATTTTAAAGACATCATTGGATAGTTAACCATTGTAGATAGTGTTCAAAAGTAAACCATCTTGTGCTTATATTTTTTGGTTAAGGGATACTTTCCCTGTATGTGTGTTTATATATTTATATGTATCTGCTTTTCTTTTTTGATATAGCTTCTCAGTATTTGGTGTATTCTTTGTGATTTGTATGCCATTTTAAAATTTTGAGCAAGAGAAAAGGTGATGGTTGCTGGTAGCTTATAACAAGGATAATGAAAAATAGGCAGATTAGAGACAAAATTAGGAAAACTGTTTAGCTTGTGCTATTATTTCTATCCATGTAAAGATTATAAATCTAGATAGGTTTTTGGCAGAGTTCTGTTTTTGTTGTTATCCTTTTGGTTTTTGATGTGGCATGCATGGAATTTTAAATTACACGTATTCATTGCACTTTATGTAATGGTTTTTTTTTTTTTTTTTTGAGTTGGAATCTCACTCTGTCGCCCAGGCTGGAGTGCAGTGGCACACTCCACGGCCACCCCAGTGTTACCTGCTGGGCTCTGGAGATCCTTCTGCCTTGGCCTTCCAAGTAGCCAGAACTGCAGGCACACACTATCATGCCTGGCTAATTTTTGATTTATTGTAGAGATGAGGTCTTACCAAGTTGCCCTGGCTGATCTCGAACCCATGGGCTTAGGCAGTCCACTTGCCTCGGCCTCCCAAAGTGCTGAGATTACAGGCTGAGCCTCCGAGCCCGGCCATGTAATGGATTTTAGAGCTAATTCTGAGTATCTTTTCAACATTTATAAGGTTAAACTTGAGAGGCTGTAGTTGCATAAGTGTTATTGCCATTGTATTCCTAAATACTAATACCATCTTTTCTCTACACTTCTATGGAGAATCCAATTAAAATTTTTCTTTTTCCTTCTCCTCCCTTACTCTTACAGACCTAACTTTTTTCTTTTTCTCATAAATTCAGATCCCAGTTGTAAGTACTACTAATATATTTCTTATATCTATATATTTTCTCCTTTCCTATATCTAATAATGACTGAAATTTTCTTCAACTTATATTATAATTCTAGTTTTTTTGTTTTCTTAAATGTAATCCTAGATGTATTAAAATATTTCTTCTGTTATAAGTCTTTGTAATTATGGTTTTGGTTTTTTGACTTGCTTCTAAAATGTTCTTAGTCATGACCTTTTTTCTTTTTTAAAACTGGAGACCTATAAAACATGAAGACAAAGTTTCAAGAGATAAGATCTTATATTCCAAATTTATGCCTCAAAATTTGGAGGTACTCTTTAGGGATATGTTTACTACTTACCCTCTCATCCTTTTAAGATGAGATTAAACTCACTGGACTGTTCTTCCAACAACATTTTTTAGTACCACTTTTTAAGTTACAAAAATGATTTTTAATTCTTATTTATAAGAGACAGGCATTTGTTTTTAAATTACTAAAGCAGTTGTACCTTAGATAAAAGTTTGATTTTTTTCAGTGTTTTATAAACTTTGATTTTCAATAGATCAGGCTTCACTGGCCAGAGTGAAAGACTGACCTGGTCTCTCTTTAACTTTATCTGGTCTTCTGCTGGCTACCTAGGTTTCTGTGTAGCGCACAGAAAGATGATTCGTCTTTGCACCATGTTTATATAACTAACACTTTTTTAGGGAGGCTTTTTATGGCCCTCCCCATCACCATCCCCAATTTAAATAAGGGCTTTTTAAATCTTCTCTTTTAGCATCCTGTTCTTTTTATTCTTGACCCTCTTAAGAGGTTTTAATTATTTTTAAATGTCATCTTCCCTATTAGAATGTACATTTTATGAATACAGAATCTGTATGTATAGCAAACACCTAAAACAGTGCCTAGCACTCCTAAGAGCTAAACAAAATGATTGTTGAATGAATGATAGGCATTGGACTTTATAGTTTGAAGGCATACATTTATATTGCTGGTAGATATGTATATTTGCTCACTCGACTAGTTATGTTGCACATAATGCTAAAAAGCCTTTGGTTATATTGAATGGATAAAAGTTTATGTTTTAATACAGTTGAAACCCAATATAATTTACTTCAGTTTTATGTATGTAGTTTGAAAAAGTCTATGCCACATCTCTACATGTCAACAGAATATTAATTCTAACACAAGGAATCTAATCTCTGTAATTGACTTAAATATCTCTTAGGGGCTATTTCCTGTCAAAAACTGTTTTATATGGTGACTTGGTACTACACAGTACTTGAGTGCCATATCTTAATTATGTCCTGTAATGCATTTGTTTTGTTCCTATATCTCTACATCTTTCATAATGGGATTCATATATTTTGCTTGTGGTGATTACAGACATGAGTATTCTTACCTTCAGCATTCTTAATAACTCGGCCATACAGGCTATAATTACCTAGTCTTTGGGTACTCATTTTATTCCTTAATTCTTTCAATTAACTAATGTTTATTGAGTACTCTCTTCCACATTGATTATATATGTTGGAGCAAGAAAAAATGATTTTTCTTTTTCTAACACTTAGTCTATTGTGTTAATGTTTATCATTGTGTATTGCATTTATTATTAACAAAACATAATATATCCTATCATGCATTTAATTATTTTATAGATGCTCCTGAAGTTTCAGTAACAGGATATGATGGAAATTGGTTTGTAGGAAGAAAAGGTGTTAATCTCAAGTGTAATGCTGATGCAAATCCTCCACCCTTCAAATCTGTGTGGAGCAGGTAATGTTATATACTTATAAAGAGAAATTATTTAAAAGTGAAAAGTATTCTTAAATGCATATTTTAATGGTCTTTATCAGTATAATAATATACATCATTATAGTAACAAAGTAACAGCTGACAATTTAACAAAAGGCTTCTACATGTTTTCCTGTTCCACACCTCCCCACCCTCATACCTCTCTCAGTTCTATTCTTCAGAGTCTATTTTAGCAATTTATTCTGGTAATTACCATCAGAGGTCTTAAACTGCTCTTTCCTTATTTACCAATTTTTATCGTTGTCTGTTGACTTCTTAGATAGAGTTAATTCTTTGTCTACCCTTTTAGCCACAAACAGTAATAGCTGAAAATTTTAATTAAATTAAATGAACGAAATTAAGGTATTTTTTAGTTAAATTCTGTAATCACAATTTATCTTCCTGTGACAGGTAACATTTACTGAGAGCTAAGTAGTATGCCTGTTTTCTGTTGTCTACAGCTATTTGTTTTCCCTGTGACTAATAACTGCCTCTTTTTGTTTGTGTACTTTACTATCTACATAATTCTCTTTATGTCTGGAATTTTGTATTTGTCAGTATTTAGGAGCCCATAATTCTTGAGAATTATGTATTATCAACGTGACTTTTTTTTTCCTTGTTCACTCTTACTGAGCTTATATTTATTGTATAATAAATACCCTTCCTTTTATGTTTTTTAAACATGCTTACTGTTTTTCCTAGAATATTTTCTTGATTTGAACACATTTTTTTCAATGACAATCATTACAATTTTTTTTCTTTTTTTTTTTTTTTTACTTTAAAGATGGTGGGGTACAATTCAGGATTAGGTATACAAGTGTTTATTGTACAGGTAAAGTTTGGACCTCCTTTATTGCCTAGTTTGAGATCAAGTACCCTTGTTGATGTTGTATCCTCCTCCCCCACCCTGGCAGTATCCCACTACTGCCAATCCCTTTCTTATAGTATTGTGGTAAATGTTCAGGGTCTGCTTATGAGTGAGAACATGTGGTACTCAGTTCTTTGTTTCTGTGATAGATCACTGAGTCTGGTAGATTCTAAGTCTATCCAGGTTACTGTGAAATCCATATGTTTGTCCTCCTTTAAAATTTTTTTGACATATTTTCAGTTTATAGGACTATCTTCTCATTCTTTGTTTATTTCTATAGCACCCTTTTCTTATTTTTTGAGTATTTTAACTTTCTTGTTTTTTCCTGGGATACTAGAGTTATTTCTACCTCAGAAAGTTTTTTTATGCTTTCAACAGATTGTCTCTTTTTTCTCCAAGTTTTTTGTTTGGTCTTTCTTTCACTTTGTAGATATTCCTGAATCTTCTTGGCCGTCTACTCATTTCACAGTGAGACATTAAAACATAAAAGGCTTAGTGGACATTCTCTCTTCTCTGTTGTAAGAATTACTCATTAGTAAGTTCCATTATAGAGTGATCAGGTAGAGAGAGAGTTCTATTTTCCTGGAGTGACTCCAGATATCACTAATAGAAGAATCTTTTCTTCATGGCCATTCAGTTTATTTTTAGAATTAACTTCTATTCTTTTACCTGAGAGGTAAATGCCTAGTATTTACAGAGGTGAGAGGAATCTAGTGCTTTCCTTTGTAACTTTCAACTAATCATCTTATTTCTAGCTCTCTTCCTCCATCCTGCCTTCTGCGGTCTTTTCAGTAAATAGTTTAATCTCTCTAATCCTAAATTTCCTCATTAATAACAGTACTTCCTAGAGTTTGTGTGAGAATACAGACAATGAATTTAACTCATGTAACATAGACACAAAAACATAGAAGATAGAGGATGCTTTTGTTGTATGTTTAATGTGATACTAGATTTTTCTGACTGTGGCCTATTTGTATAAATGACATTAAAGAATTATGTTGTTTTTAAATTTCTCAGAGAATTAAAGGGATAAGAATTTAGGGCCCAAAATACAAAGGTAATTGTTAGGACATAGATGGTTCATATTCGTTGTTATCCTTCTAGAAAAGAAGTTTACTTTTTGGAAGCTGATGCTTGCAAAAATTTTCTTTCCAAAGTTCTCTTAAGAAGGAAGTTGAGAGTTTTTGTGTTTTAAACCATATAATAGTATTATCTTTATCCTTCAGTTCTAAATTAAACCAACACCAAAAGATTTTTTTGATAATTTTTCCACTCACTATCCTTGGGATTCTAAAATAAAATCATTCTGCCTATTGTCCATTGTTGATTTGCTTCTTTCCACCTTTTTATTATTGTATGTTCTTATTCCCTTTGTAATGAGTTGTTGATCTACTATGTACTTCTATCATTGATGGCAGATACCAAATCTGATTTACTTCTGCTTCTCAGCAACACATGCAGAGCAGTGTATGGCAAATAGTAAGCTTCTAGTAAGTGAATAAGTGAATAAAATTTTTGACAGTCTACTTAACCTAAGGTATGGCAATTGAGCACCTGTGTTTACCTGACTTATTATCTTCATATCTTAAAAAAATAATTTAAACTTTAAAAAGTTTCAGAATAAACACTTTTTTTGTTTGTTTTTTTGGTATCCACAGCTTATAAATGTGATATTTAACAGAATATTTAGTTCTATTGCAATGAATGACTTCATAGTTGTTATAGTGGGACCTATATAAGTTAGATTAATATGTACACTATGTATAGAACCTCTTAGTCAAATTAGTAGAGGCATTGTTTAAAAAAAGGAGTTATTATTGATACCAACTAGTATCTTGATTTATATTGTCACAGATGCTCACCTTATAAATGAAATTATAAGAAGACCCTTCTTGCCGCCTTAGAAACTGTCTTTGGATGGCACATTATATTTTTTATTAGTATTAAATGATGCTCTATAAATATGTTATAGATGGTCTAAAACATGGTTTATTTAAATGACATGACTTTTCATTAATAAAATTATAAATATATCATGAATAGATCCGTAATTCACTGAGAATTTTAGCTTCTTTGATACTGTGAGCATATCTTCAACTAACGTTTATTTCTGACTTCTCATTTAAAAAAATTTTTTTTCAATCACATTTTTCTCTTCTTCCCTTCCATTCTATTTTGTTGGTCTAGTTACAGTTTGTGTGGATTAATATTTTGAAAGAATGGTGGCTGTTTATGGACATTTTTTAGTTTATTTTGTTAAAATGAAAATTTGTTACTTTTATATACTTTCATAGTGAAATATATCTAAAAGATACTATTTTTTAAACTAATAACATCTCAAAAGTATAATATCTTATTTTAATCAGCTGTCAATGAATACAGTCTAAGTATATTTAAAATAATTTCATGCTTTTTAAAATCTAGGTTGGATGGACAGTGGCCTGATGGTTTATTGGCTTCAGACAGTACTCTTCATTTTGTCTATCCACTGACTTTCAATTATTCTGGTGTTTATATATGTAAAGTGACCAATTCCCTTGGTCAAAGAAGTGATCAAAAGGTCATCTACATTTCAGGTAAGTTACTGTCTACTTGCAAAATGAGTAACTTAAGATATCTTTATAATAACAATCGTAATAACAATATGATCCTTGGCAATGATTATACTTACAAAGATACAGATTCCTCAGTGTGAGATTTTAGCAAAGAATATAAAAGGAATACGATAAAATAGCCTTATCTGAAATCATATATAAAGTGGCATTTTTTTATTTGAAAAATGTCAAAATGTCTATACAGTAAGTTTGTACACATTTTGATACCTGTACATATGGTTAATGTTTTAATCAGTATTGAATATTTCTGTAATAGGTAGTATGCCTTTCTAGATTCTTTCTTTCTTTATTCTAAAAACAGTGTTTTTGTTTGTTTTTGCTTTAATAGCTACTTTGTGTACAATTTTCTATTAAGTAAAATGAAGTATTAACTTTGATGACCTGGCTTGTTAAATAATATTGTTTGCCACTTAATATGAGTCTATATCATATTGTGTTACTGAAAGGTGCAGTGGGAATGCTACTGAAAATGTTGTAATGAAATAAAATGTAAGTTGTTTCTTACTGTCAGACTTTAAGTTGCTAACACATTTGATTTTTCATGTTCTGTTTGTTTCACGGTAAAAGTTTTTGTTAATTTGGCTAAGTATAAATTTGGGCATTCATACAATATATATTTATAGAACTAAAAGTTTATTTTCTTCTGAGTGTGGTTATAAATAATAAAATTATCAATAGAATGCTTATTTATAAAAATTCTATAAAATATTTTGAGCATCCCCTTACTGACTGCAAGAAGATAGCAATCTTTTGTTTATAACATGGAAATTAAGGGGAAAAGGAAGAGAACCTTAAGAAATTCAGGTTTGTATGGTAATTATGTAATGTTAAGACTTTTATCTCTGTTCAAGTCTAAAACTTCATAAATTAGAGATTTTAGAAAAATTTTGTTATATTCTCAGTCCTTGTGTGATCATTCAGTCTAAGAACAATATTATTTTTCTCACAGCACTCACCACAATTTTTAGTTGTATGCTCATTTCTTTACTTTGTATCTGTTCTCACAATTAAATATTCTGTGTGCTTTATTCATCACTGTATACTCAACAATTAGTTTAGATTCTGGCACACGATAGAGACTCAAACTTGTTTTTTGCGTGACTCTAGTGAGAGGCTTAGAGCTGTACACATTCTAGGCCTTTCTACCTAGGAAATATGAATGAGATTACATATTAGTATATTAGTCTCTTTTTCTTTCCTTAGAGTATATATCACAAGAAATACCTGTATGTTTACTTAAGGACTGTTTACTTTTTGTTTATGTTGTATAATTTGGTGTGGGATATTACTTGCCAATCTTAGACTCAGTATGTTATAGTTGTATAATAATTTAAATATCAAGGCTCATTTGAGCACTCATACATAAAGGTTCCATTGATGATATCCTAAATTTATGTCTTTTGGTGTTCTGGGTCCACTTCCCAGTACTCCTGACTTGTATGTCCAAGTTCCTGTTAATGACCAATGACTAGGTAGAAGTCTAATAGGTGTTTACAACTTAACATTTTCAAAACCAGGGTCCTGGTCTTTCTACTGCCCCTTGCCACCAAACCTGTTTTTCCACTGAAAGGAGTCTTCCTTCATTCAGTTATTGGCAGTTTTGTCCTTATATTTGCTGAGGTTACAACTTTTGATAGTCGTCCTTGACTTCACTTTTTCTCTCATATCCTCTACCCAGTCTATCCACAAATCAGTGTCAGCTCTCCCATTATGTTATACACAGAATCTTACCAATTCTTTATTTCTCTACTGCCATTACAGTGGTCCAGCCATTAATATCTCTTCACTCTTACAGTAGCCATTTAGTCTCCCTACTTTGAATGTGTCCCTCTTCAATCTATCATCAAATGAGCATTCAGAATGATTTGTTTAAAAGGGCATGTCGGATCATGTCACTCCTTCTTAAAACCTTCCACAACTTCCTATTTTACCTACAATGAAAACCAGATCTTAACAGTGACTTATAAGGTTGTCTACATGCCTTTGTCTCAGACTCTCTGTCTGATTTCATTTCTTTTATATCCCTTGCTCACTGGCTCACAGAACAGGTACATTCTGACCTCGAGTCCTTGCATTTCTACTGCCTAGAATGTTCTTCTGCCAGGTATCCCCATAGTTCCTTCCTTCATTTCCTTTAGGACTTTACTAAATAAAATATCACTCATTTTTTAAATGAGGTATTTCTTCATGACTGTGTTTAAAATAAAAAGCCCTGTCTTCTCACCTCTTTACTTTCTTTAGTCCTCTTTCTCTGCTTTATTTTTCTCTCTAGTTCTTATTACCATGTTATGCATACTACATACTTTATTTATTTGCTTGTCTGTTATTACCCTCATTAGAACATAAATTCTTCGGTGCAGGATTTGTGTCTACTTTAATCACCACAGTAGTCCCGCTGTCTGCAGTGATGCTCAGCATTTAATAGGTGTTCAGTACACTTTTGTTGCATGAACGAATACATTTGTTTGAGAAGAAAGTTATAGGAAAAAAATTTAAAATCTAGAATCTGCTTTTATGCAACTTTATTTTCTTTAATGAGGGACCTAATGTAATCTAGAATCTGCTTTCATGTAACTTTATTTTCTTTGATGAGGGAACTGATGTAATGCTGATGATAAGCTTTACATATTGTTTATCAACACCTACAAGTTTTATAAGCAGGGAAATCAAATTGTGAGTAAATATGAAATATCACAATTGCCTCTGAGTAATTCAAAAGATAGTATTATATGAGATGACTTTCTTCAAGTAATCAAGTCTTAAGCTTTACTTTTCAATTCAGAGTCTATAAAATGCTACAATATACAATGCCGAGTTTAGTTAACTCCTCTAAGAATTGCCTGGAATATGTCAGGTATCTTAGATATAATGCTGCCTTTCCAAAATGACTATTTAGTAATACCTAACTAGGCATTTATCAGACTAAGTGGTCATCATTTGTACAAAGTAAATGATCAAACAGTTAATCTTTTCCAGTGTTACATGTTTTTTACCTCAGTTTGTTAAAATGTATCTTAGGACTAGATACTAAAGTTCTGTTCAGAACAGAGTGAATTTAGCAACTCTGAAATTGTTTTTTGGTTTTTTTTTGAGTTGGAGTCTCACTCTGTCGCCCAGACTGGAGTGCAGTGGCCGCTCCTGGCCACCACAGCCTCGACCTGCTGGGCTCCAGCGATCCTTCCGCCTCGTCACATATTTTTACACATTGATAAACATGAGATTTAGATAAAAAGTCATCAATTCAAGATTGCAATAGAGGGCCTCTAGTGGTTCCTTATCTAGTACTGACTGACTGCTGGGAACTATATTTTTCTGGGTTATTTTTGGTGTATATTTTTCCCCTGATACTTGTCACTTCTGTTTGAAAATGAAAAGCAAATGTTTATATATCAAATAAATGCCCTCATGCCTAAAACTCTTATTCCTATACAAAACTTGAATTTCTGATCATATTGATTTCAGGATCCAGGCATAGTATCGAACTTAAGAATTCATGTTTACTTAGCAATCTTTTAACTTTAAAATGTATAATTTTGTTTACTTAACCTATATAAAGTCTAAAAAAGAAAGCAATTCATTAAACTTTTTAACAGTAATTATTAATCTAAATTATACCCTCTAGCTATGGGGCCTTACTTTACCTTTTCCTGTTTGGCAGAATTTACTAGTTAGGAAAAGAAACTTAACAAATTCTTCATTGGGTGAGGAGAATGTAGTTATTATATCCTTATTTATCATACATTCAGCAAAGAATATGAGAAATATTGTCTGACTGAAAAAATAGGAATGCTTTTGGCAAGGATTTAAATCATAAGTAAGTAGCTGTTAGTGAGTCAAGAGTAGTCCTGCCCTTTTACATGAATTGTGTCTCTTATTGTAAATAAGACAGAAACAAATGTTTTGTATGCATTGTCATATTTCCATTGCTTAAAATACAAGACAATGAAATATTAACAGTAGTCTCTCTTTTATGGAGTGATATTAATAGTGAGACTGCTGTTTTTAACACTGTTAAAGAAGGGTGGTGGGTTGAAATATTTTTAGAACCACTGACAATTAAATAAGATTTAAACATTTTTTTAGCTAGATTTTTCTCAAAACTGTATTTTGTTAAACAGACAATAGCCAACCATTTGTTTTTCTATCAAAAAACTTTGTAAGTAGACATAAGAAATGGCCTTTTTTTTTTTTTAAGGATACTTGGTAAAAATGTTTCTTTGTATCTTACACTTGGTGAGAGCTCAGGTGTGTTCACTGTTCTGAGAAAAATAACATTTCAACAGCTTCCAAAATCCTTAAAAATCTTACAGGCACAATAGTGTGTAAATTATAAATTAATTAGGTTATTTGTACTTTGATTTAAATGTACTAAAGCCAGTTTGTTGTAATACTTTGGGAAACATTGTAAAGATGGCATTCAGTATTTAAACTTGACTTTCCTATTACTCCTGCTCCCTCAGAAAGTACATAATTTAATTATAAATGCATTACTTTTGGTTTTTTTAGTGTTTTATTCTGTGAAGTTGGATTACATGAGGCCTTACTGCTTTTATGCTAGACATGGTCCTTCATTTCCACAACTGTTTTATTGAGATTGAGTTTATTTCATTAGTGATATGTTCTCCTCAGTAAAAAATTCCTTGATTTACTTACATCTCCTCAAATATTCACTTCAAAGTACTTAACAGGATTACCTGTTAGATTAGTTTAAATTCATAGAAAATTAGTTATACTGAACTTGTTAAATTTTATACTGTACTTGCTAAATTTTTACCACATTCTATACATATGGCATTCCGTGATGAAACCAGTTTAAGTAAGTATTTTTCTTTAGCTTGTAATATTAGAATAACTTACCCCATGTAGAGTTAGTATTTTTCTAACAATCATTTTTTAAAAGCTCTATCAGTACCACTCATTTAAAAATTAATTATGAGAGATTACCACTTGAGTCATTGTTTTAACTGTCAAGAATTTCAAGATTTTTAGACTTATTCTTTCTTCAAACTCCTCTAGAATTTTGTGTAACATGAGCTACACATACTACTTAATTGATAATTAACCAGTCTTTAATTTTTACTATTGATGTTAGTTGCTTTATAATATTAATGGCTATTTACTCTGTAATCTAATGTCAATACACAGGTTCATTTGCATCTAATATTTAAATGTTACTAGAATGTTCTCTCTAAAATATTAGCTTTTCTTTTTGAGACTCCATCCATAAAATTTTGCAGATATAGTTGAAATTTTTTAACTTTCTAAATGTTCAGATATCTTACCTATGGGGTATTAAGACATGATGACATTTTTATTGCTTTATAGTTTATAACATATTGTTACTTTGTCTTTGTTCATTAGTATCATTTGATAATACCCTATCTGGTTGACACAGTTTAAACATATGCTTTTTTTTTTTTAAATTGCTAAATAATGGTGTTTACTATGTGTTGCCTTTCCAAAACTTAATTAGAGCTTTTTTATTCAAGGAAAATATTTTTGAGAGAATTATTAAATCAACAGCTTACACTATGCCCACTTAACAATCTATAGTTTTTCATTCTTTTAAAGATAAGTTCAGGTCTTATAAAAATAATCTATATTAGGTAAAATGAATATTTTAAAAAGTTTTATTTTTGCTTTTTTTATTTTATTTTTGTCCTACTGGCTAAGAAAATGTACATTTTAATTATTTGATTTAATTTAATTTTTTATCATGATAATTCTTAAGCCAGCTGTGTACAGGTCACTTAAGTAATGCTCTTAATTAAAAAAATAAGTACCTATTTTCTGGAATACAATATCACTCAAACTTGGAATAGAGTAATTTAGGATTTACATCACAGGCTTCATTCCTTTCTCTCCGTTGGTGACTAAGCATCAGTATTGTTAAAAAATATATACCACTGCAAATAATAAATAAATAAACATCACTGCATTCTAATATTAATCAAATTAAGAATGAAAAACTATTGTTACTATGGATATATATATTCATTAACTGTGCTGTCTTTTCAATTTGCTGCTGAATCAGCCCGCATTGACATTCTTTGCCTTTCTCTGTCTTGTCTATCTTTACTGTTTCCATTAGATCCTCCTACTACTACCACCCTTCAGCCTACAATTCAGTGGCATCCCTCAACAGCTGACATCGAGGATCTAGCAACAGAACCTAAAAAATTGCCCTTCCCATTGTCAACTTTGGCAACAATTAAGGATGATACAATTGGCACGATCATTGCTAGTGTAGTGGGTGGGGCTCTCTTCATAGTACTTGTAAGTGTTTTGGCTGGAATATTCTGCTATAGGAGAAGACGAACGTTTCGCGGAGACTACTTTGCCAAAAACTACATTCCACCATCAGATATGCAAAAAGAATCACAAATAGATGTTCTTCAACAAGATGAGCTTGATTCTTATCCAGACAGTGTAAAAAAAGAAAACAAAAATCCAGTGAATAATCTAATACGTAAAGACTATTTAGAAGAGCCTGAAAAAACTCAGTGGAACAATGTAGAAAATCTCAATAGGTTTGAAAGACCCATGGATTATTACGAAGATCTAAAAATGGGAATGAAGTTCGTCAGTGATGAACATTATGACGAAAATGAAGATGACTTAGTTTCACATGTAGATGGTTCTGTAATTTCTAGGAGGGAGTGGTATGTTTAGCAACCACTAAATGTGACTTAACCACGTACAATATTTCATTCATACTAGTTGATCATTTTCAGATTGTTCATACTTTTTCTTGAGGAAGAATAAGCTTTTTCGAGTTGATTTTCAAGCTTTTTATATTCTAATCTGACAAATGAAAATGTAAAATCTGGGTTCAATGTATCTAAGCTGCTTTACAATTTTTTTCAATGCTGTACTACTGTCTCCAGATTTAAATTTTAATGCAGAGTACTTTATTGGTCTGAGGCACACAGGTAAGAAGAAATATCAACATTAAATGTATGACTTTTTTGGTACAAAAATTAAAAAAAAAAAAAAAAAGGAAACTACCTTGGCATTGTGTATTAAATGTTTACCTAAGACTGTAATCTCAAGTATAATGTTTGTTGAAAATATACCTCTCAAAATTTATCACCACTAAATGATACTGCATCAAAATTGACTATAAAACTAATTCAAGAAATGTTTATATATATTTTTAGTATACAAAAAATATTTAGCCTGATGGAACATCTTTCCTTTTCAAACATTATTTTCTAAGTTTCTATACCAATGGAATCCTTACCTCTGCATTTTAATGAGCCTTGCCATAATTATTGTAGAGTGGCTTCTCAAAGATATTTTGTTGCACTAAAACTGTGGTAGTAAACTCAGTGAACATGATGTGTGGAAGAGCATAATTCGCTGGTCAATATTTTTGTTCAACATACATACAAGAGTAATAATAAAATACATGCCTTTTAAACATAATTATTATAGTTTTTTCATCTCTGGAAAATAATTTCTTATATTGTCATGTGAACATTAGCGGTAGCCTTATTTTAATGCTTAATGTCCTAAATATACGAGTGATAATTAAAAGATGGTACACAGCTAAATACAGTACAAAGAGGACATTTCATTATACTGGAGTACTAGTTTTAGAAATGAGACAGTTCAGCAAAGAATCTATAGAAATAATTTTCTAGACTATCTTGTTTTAGTCATTTAATGTTGGTGTTGTTTAAACGGGTAAATATGCAGAAAAAAATTTAGAATAATCTTGAAAACTTGGGATTTACCTAGAGAAATCTGAAGTATAGAACCAGTTTAACACTTTCTGATGGATGTTAGCAATTCATCTCCGTTTCTTCCTAAATGTATGTATGTATTTCAAGATTTTTTTTTCCAATTAAAACTGGAAACATATCATGAGGGTTTTTGTTTTTGTTTTACATAATTATGTATATTCTTTCCAGAATCTTGGATCTTCTTTGTAAGGTAATTAAATTCCTCCTGCAGCAGAGTCCTATATGGTTGTAATAATGGCAGCTATTTTGAAGCCTAAAGAATATGTTTTTCTATTTATGATTCATTTGAAAAAAGAACTATTTTGCCAAGGCAGTGAAGTGGAAGTTAGTAGGAGAATCATAAATTAAACAAATTATTTTGTTAATAAAAAGGCAAAATAGGTACTTATTTAACCTTCTTCATCTTCATTCCCCCCAATTTTCATCAAATCAAAAAAAAAAATTTGAGGGCAAAATTTCTAACATGTTCATAGTATATTGCAAGTAGTGAAATCTTTATTTTAAAATATTATAAACTGGTTTTCTTTTTTTTAACTAGCAGTATTTTGTGTAAATTCAAAGCCCATTTTGTTTCTCTTCCCAGATACTTAGGAGAAGACTATAATATCAGGTTAAGAATGCAATTAAGTTCACTGACATTTTGTTTAAAATGCTTGGGTTTTAGTATAGTTAACCACTTATATAGAAATACTTTAATTTTTTAGTCCAAGTTATTGGCAGAAAACTTCCTAATAATACACTGTGATTGAAATGATTTCATATTTAATTTTAATATCAGCAATGATAATGGTCACACAGAAGATGACTCTAAAATCCTTTTAATGAGAGATGTAAATTTGTGGTTTTTTGGATCAAAATTTCAACCTTAGAAACAATGCTTTGAAATGCTGTGAGTCTGAGCAGAATAATCATATTTAGGATTCTGTTTAAGTCTCAACTGGAGTATAATCTGAAGGAAATTAGCAATGGATTTTAAGAACTGTATTTCAAAAATATAAATACTTTCTGATTATGAGCTTCTTGCTAACACTATGACCTTTACGTAGTTAGGGTTTTTTTGTTGTTGTTGTTATTGTTTTGTTTTGTTTGTGTGGGAGAGGGTGACCTGGAATACTACAAGTGAGTATTTGACACATTCTGTATCTTAATCTAAATCATTTGGCAGACTAAAAGGTTTCCAAATTTTAAGAAACTGATACTAATGTATAAGGCCTTTGGAAGCATTACACTGTTGTTTGTTAGAAATTTATGTTTTCTGTAACTTGTAATATTATAAAGACTTGTTTGTAAACATGAATAGTCAATTAGAGAAACATTTTGCTAAATTAGTTTTTGCATACCAGTATGTGCACAGCTAACTGACAGATATATATGAAAATTTTACTATCTTCTTGGAAAATATGAAAGAGTATTTATACTATTTTTGGACATATTTATATTTATTTAATATGATTTGAACTGTTCTTTGCATTGTTATATTCACTTGAGGATTTTCTTTCATACCTAAAAGATCTCAATAATATAATGAAAGTGAATGCAACTCTTATTTTTTATGCCATTTTAATTAAGATACATTTAAACTTCAGTAGACTAGGGATCACTTTAAAATTGATAATTAGTGAGTACTTTATAATTTAAAGATTTAGTATTTTACCATGTGCCTAATAGGTTTCTATTTGATAGTCTAATATTAAAGAAATCAGTAAGGCTTTTCAGGAGTAAGTATTGCATCTGATAACCTCATATAGAAAAGTTTTACAAGGTAACCATGGTTGAATGATTTACACTAAGGGGCTATAGGAAGTATAATGTTTAAGTGCAAAAATGAAGAGAGATGTAGCCGTTTCATATACAAAAACATTTGATTAGAGGTTGATTTTGTTTTTGGTAGATATTGCTAAAAGTATATGAACAGGTAAGAAGTGATTAATGTATGGGAGTAATCATTGTAAAATATAAGAAGAATGGTAACCATATTAACCATAATAACTTTTTAATTCTAATAGGGAGTGGATTATAGATTGAATTGTCTTTTCTGTTTACATTTTAGTTAGAAAATGCACCGTTCATAAAAAGTTCCTTTTTCAAATTTTTGGCATATTGGGCTGGGATTTTAGTTTATACCAGTTTTTGTTTTTGTTTTCTTTTAACTGAGCTGTGTGTTAGGTGTTAGCCCCAATAGCCATGAAACAAATCTTAAATAAAGGTTTTAAAAAATTCTGTAGAGGTATATTTCTATAATAAGTCTGTGATTACCTTCTGTGTCCACATAAAACCTTATGTGTTTATTATTCTGTGTATATGTGTGTGTGTGTGTGTGTGTGTGTGTGTGTGTGTGTGTGTGTTGTATACAGTGTGTGCATAACCCAGTTTTTTTATTTTGAATTATCAAAATGTAATGAAAGATTTGCAGATTAAAAATCTATTTTATTTCTTTTCCCAAAACGACTGTAATATCAGGTTAAGGATGGTTGGCATGTTGTCCATTATAAAATTTGATTTTAGTTAACGGTTTAATTTCTATTTCATATATACATCATGAGTAACATTCTCCATAATTATGAATTTTCTTGTCTCTGTACGTTACGCAGTTAAAACGGATTTTAAATGTTTTTGCTGTTACTTCGACATAAGTCAAATTTTATACATTGGCTTTCTGTTTGGAATTAACACATTTCATAAGGTATTTCTTAAGTTGCCATTTAGTGTTTTTTACTTATTGCTTTTTGTTAGTGGCTTTGATTAGAAGTGTCATTTGTTTGAATTGTTTTTAATCTCCTTTAATTCATTACCCTGTGTCCTATTCCTAAATTAGGATGCCTTTTTTCTCCTAAACTTTAAATTATTTTATAACAACAACAGTTTTTGTTTTAAATAATATATAATTTGACTGGGTTGTTTAGTTCTCTCTTGGTATACCAATAAAAATTCATGCTTGAAAGAATCTTTGAATAGTGTACACAGCCCACCAACTTTTGTATGTTTTTAAAAATGCTTTCTGTTTATTTTTGTTTTTTTCTATTATAGCCCTGTCAATTACCTTTTTCTCTTTTCTTTTTGAAGTACACATCTACTTTGACTTGAGTAGTGATAGATTTCTGTCAAGAGCAGGAACCCATACATTGTTTACAAGGGCTCTTGAATATCCTTAGGTATGACTTCGTTTGTTGAATTTTGGTAATAGGTATTTATATTCATTTCCATTTAAAAGGATAAAACATTGTGTGAAAAGTCATTTCATTTGCTTTTTAGCTGATAGCTGCTGTTCATTCTGACTGGGTGTTATTGATGAGCTGACTGAGTGGTTTTTAAAACAATAACTTTAAAATATAAATATCCTTAAAACTTGAGAATAATTCAAGGCCAATATTTCTATATAAATATGATACCTAGTTGTGCAGTCTGGTATGAGAAGTATCCCAAGAAAACTCTAATTGTAAAGGGACAGGGGTAACTAGGTTTAGATGCTTTGGCCTTTTTCTCTCTTTTAACTTTTAATTATGAAAAATATTATACAAAAATAGGATGAACAGTGAATTTTCTTGTACCAGCTTCAATTATTATCCATTTCTATTCAATGTTATTTCATTTAAATTCCTGTGTTCATAATCTTTTTGGGTACTGCTTTATCTCTAAATAGTATGAAGCTCTAAAAGAGGATCATTTATAAAAGTGACAACTGCCATTATTACCCCCAAATTAAGTCATTTCTTAATATCAAGTATTCGGTGAGTGTTCAAATTTCTAATCATATGCAATTTGCAGTTTTAATCAGGTTCCATAAATGATTCATCTATGTCTTCCTCTCACCCCATTTTCCCCTTGTAGCTTGTTTCTTGAAGACACTGCTTTATTTATCCTATAGTTTTCCAGTTTAGATTATGCCAGTTGCATCCTAAATACATCCCTTTATATTTTCTGTAAGTGGGTAGTGAGATCTAGACCTTGGTTAGATTCAGGTTTAGTTTTTTGGATAAGGCTACTTCATACATAAGTGGTAATGTGTTTTTCAGAAGGCACATAATGCCTGCTTTTAGAAAAATTGTTAGCAGCCATTTGATGCTCAGTGCAAAGATCTATTAACAGAGAACCTATTCACTGTCCAGATATATTACCTCTGTTCTTTACCACATCATATGTTTGGATGTCTGGTTGATTATGTCCATGTTTCTCCCTTTACCTACAGTTTTACTTTCTCTTCCACACTAGGAAATCAGTCCATATTTAAGGTCCAGCTTAAATGATAGGTTAATGAAACTTTTCTTTCTCCTGTAAAATTAATAACCACTGCCTGTGTTAACTTGTATCCCTACCATAACCTCACATCTTATTTTAGGTTTTTTTTTTTTTTTTTGAGTTGGAGTCTCACTCTGTAGCCCAGACTGGAGTGCAGTGGCCGCCCCCGGCCACCGCAGCCTCGACCTGCTGGGCTCCGGCGATCCTTCCGCCTCAGCCTTCCGAGTAGCCGGAATTACAAGCATGTGCTACCATGCCCGGCTGATTTTTTGAATTATTGTAGGGATGAGGTCTCCCTGCCCAGCCGGGTCTCGAACCCGCGGGCTCAGACAATCCACTCACTTCAGCCTCCCAAAGGCACAGGATTACAGGCTGAACCACCGAGCCCAGCTCCTATTTTAGTTTTTAATTCTCTAGGTAGTGAAAACTCTTGAGTGTAATATGTACTTCAGTTATGCATGTGCTACGATAGCAGTTTGCTACATGGACATTTTAACTATCTGACAAAATAATATTTATTTATTTTATTATTATTTTTTTGAGTTGGAGTCTCACTCTGTTGCTCAGACTGTAGTGCAGTGGCCGCTCCCGGCCACCACAGCCTCGACCTGCTGGGCTCCGGTGATCCTTCTGCCTCAGTCTTCCAAGTAACTGGAACTACAGGTGCGCACTACCACGCCCGGCTAATTTTTTTGATTTATTGTAGAGATGAGGTCTCGGCAAGTTGCCCAGGTGGGTTTTGAACCCGCGGGCTCAGGCAATCCACTCACCTCAGCCTCCCAAAGCGCGGGATTACTGGCTGAGCCACCGAGCCCGGCCAAAACAATATTTAAAACAATTTTTTTCTCACAAAAAACTATACTATCTTGATAAAGTATGGCAGCATTTCATTTTAAAAGCTAACCTTTTTCTTACCAAAACATTTTTGGAAAAAACATAATTGAATATGCTTCATTTGTTTTTTAATCTCAGTTTTATACTTTTTGATTTCGTGATCCAGAGATCTCATTCTGTGTTCTCTGTATGTTGATACTTGGTTTTTAGGTATAAAAACACTACCTTTCAAAAACAAGTGGATTCAAATGGAAGAAGTACACTGTTTAGGACATTAACAGTTTTCATCCCAACCACTTTTTAGAGCTTGTCATTCTGTTCAAGATACTTGATTCAATATTTTGCTAATCACAATAACCTCACCTTCACATTAGCTACTATTTCAATATATTATAGGTTAAGTATGAGGTTTATTGTTAAGGAGTCAATGTATTTTTTATCTGGTCTCCTGATGTATTTAAATTTTTTTGGTTGACTTGTCATTGTCAGTTTTTATTTGTGCCTACATTATTAATGTTACGGTCATTCTGCCAGTTTGCAAGAATGATATTTACTTGGGATAAATGCTTACTAGTATATATAGATTAGCACTGATACTTCCAATGATTCCATTTGTCAGGTATTTACCTGTCACATGGGGCACTCATGCAATTCTTCCTTTACAATTTCGGCTGTTTATTAAAACAAGATATTATTCAGTTGAGCTCTTGTAAATCATGATATGCCACAAGATGTTGATTATGCTGAGAATGAACAACCAAGTGAAGGTGTAACTGTCTACTTGATTTTGTTCTGGAACTGTCCCATTCCACTTTCCCTGTATGATACCATGGGTGCCCAGTGTGGCAGGGAAACACCTCATACCTGGACAAGTGGACCTCTATCATTGCCACCCCATAATATTATATACTCATAAACATGTATTTTTATCAAATGCCTTTTTAAAAATGGTAACATTTCTATATTTCGTTGGATGACATATCGTTAATTCCATGACCCTACTTTGGGATTTTGCTCTCTAGTGTGAGGACAGGGACTATGTAAAATTTATCCTTGCATTCTTGGCACTTAGTACAAGGCTTGACACGTTAGGTGCATGGTAATTTGTTGAATGAGAGACTGAGGAGAATGACCTGACCCAAATAGACCACCTTTATTAAAAAGTAGTGCGAGATATATTTGGATGGATATAAAGGCTAAGAAGTCACACTGAGAAGGTAAATATAAAAGGGGATATTGACAAATGAATGGAATTATGGGGAACAATGGATAAAACAGTAATGTATAGTATAGGAACAAATAAAGGGTGGTAGCAAAAACTAAAAGTTTATAGGCCATCACATTAACCTGCAAATCATGTGATGTCATCACTGAAGTTTTCATGAAGGGACTGAAGGGAAAAAAGGATTTTTTGTCTCGGTTTCAAACGTGAGTTAGGCATACACTTAAGTTTGAATAGCTTTCAGTAAAAAAAATTCTTTTATATCAGAGTAATAAAAAACTTAAATTTATTATTTGTAATGATTATATGTTGTTTAAAGTCATGAAAGCTCTTTTATATATGTGTTACATTTTGAAATGCTTTGTAAATAGTTGAGTTTTGAACATTTTCCCCAGAAGACATATACATGACATCTTTAACAATGGACATATTCTTTTATTGTCTTCGGGAATGCTATTTTTCTTTCTTTGGAGGTGAGTTTCTAGTGAATATGTGTTACCATAGCTGTTTCTTTTAGCGACACATTCAGCAGTTTTTTAATGGTAAATATTTTATAACTTTAGTTTTTTGCTGCCACTTGTAAGCATATCATTGGGTTTAGTAGACCATCTCTTACTTTGATGATAATGTTGTTTCACTTGGTTAAACCACTTTATAGTGCTTAAAAATATCATGTTTCTACACTTGCTCAATTTTTTTCCTTTGTAGTGGTTTTGTTGGAATATAAAGTCTATGTAGTATGTGTATGTTTGTGTGGGCAGAGATGTGGAGGAGTCAGTGTTTGGGCTAAATTCCTCAAAACACTTGGACTTGACCACAAAAGATTTTAGCACTTCCTTTACATTTCCTGCTGGTTTTCATAATCTGCAAATACCCTTACATTATTAACACCCAAATGTATTACTTCTTTATCTTTTTTCTCAATTAGAACAAGGAAAGAAAATATGAACTCTATCTTGTTTATGTATTTAGCATAGTCAGTTTATCTAAATGAAATAGATTAGTTAATAAATGGATTCATACTTAGTTTTTCTTCCATTTGCTCATTAACACTTAACAGTTTGTTCCTCTAAGAAGAGGTATGTGGAAAAGAGGATAAATATGAATAGAGAATGAGTGGAATGAAGTGAAATGAAGCTGCCCAAATTAAGATAAAAGGTAGTGTTGAGGTATACATAGTCAACTCTCAGTTATAGAATGCTAGAGGTGGAAGTTATAAGATGACTGTGACAGAATTGGGTAAGTAGATTATAATTAAAATGTTTAAAAAGTAGTATCTCGTCTTGAGAATTTAGGATATTGAAAATAGTATATTTAGACTGGGAATTACTTTAGGATATTAAAAGTCTACATGATAGTTTTCTTATTTTTAGAACATTGCCAAATTTCAGATTATTGCTAAGATTAAATGAAAGGCTTTCCTAGAGGATATGTTTGGTTGGATAAATAATTTATAATGATCTGTAGGTTGAGAATCTTAATGTGGACTCATTTAAAGAGTAATCTGAGCTTTTGAAAAGTAATTTTGGAAATACTACTCTGGCATTAACTTTGTCATTATCAAAATAACATAAAAATTTAAATTCTGTACACGTGGGCAAACATGGTAAGGCTCCTTTGGTAAAAGAAAATTTTCCATGAAAGGGAAACCTTTAAAATAACTAGTGTGGAATACTAGAACACTTGATAATTGGGATTTTATATTTGTGCCACTGTCTTCAGTTTATGACCTTGGTCAAATCACATGACCTTGATAGATTTCAGTTGGCCAATTATTAAAGACAGAATGGGGGTTACCTACTTTATAACTATGTCTAGTGGTCAGAGCTATAATTTATATGGTGGGAAAACTGATAATGTAGAATAGATTATTCATAAGTCACCCTAGATCTCTTTTTCACATTTATAAGTCAGAGTAATGTCTGTACTACATTTTAGATTTCATTCTTACCTAGCACATGTTCAAGTGGAGAAATTAGGGATTAGAGAAATGAACGAGAATACATAAACCAGGCTTGTAGTAGCAAATAAATGATTAATTGGGTTATGGTGTTTTCAAAATAATTATATATTATTTTTGCTAATTTTAGAATCTATCCATTGGAAAGGTTATTGAAATGGGTGAGTTGCACTTACTGGTATAAGATTTTTAATCTAAAAAGAGGCCAATAAAATGACCCACTAATAAACCTAGGATTATTTTTAAAAGAATTTTATAATTGAAAATAAAGTAATACATTCTTTTTAGCAATCTAAACTACCATGTGACTCACAATTAATAAAAAATTGGAAAATACTCTACATATTTATATAAAAATACTACTTATGGTAAGTAGGTGAAACATCTCAAAACAAACAGTGCCAATTTTGTAAATTTACCTTGTCTGGATACCAATAATTATTACAGTTATTTAAGAGTATATGTGAATATTACATCTATTTAAGTGAAAACTAAAAGTTCTTCATAACGAAATAGGGGACCCAAAAGGAAATTATACATTGCATGTTAAAACATATCTTCTCTTCCTACAAGGGCATAAAGGGTGGAGGCGTCTGCTCTACCCCGACCTCACTTCATTTCACTCTATGTTCACCACTACTCACTGATGAAGTGGTCTTGGGCAGATAATTTAACTTGACAACTATAGTATCTTTATAGAATTTATCTTCAATATCTTTTTGTTGGTAAGAAATGTAAAGCAAAATCTCATGTGTGAAGGAACTTTGTAACTTACCCACAGAATGTAGTTATTGGATTTAACATAGCTGAAGTTGTAAAAGTAATACTTATACATAAGGATTGATGGTTTTGTTATAGTTCTTAATACATTTGAAAATATATAGTTAAATTGTAATAATGTTAGTAGATTCCCTTAATTGAGAGTTCATGAAATAGTGACTCAATTTTTTTTAGAAGAATGTAAAATGCTAACTGCTAAATATTTTCTTAAGATCCTTTCTTGCAAAATTTATGGTGCATTCTGAGAACGATAAATGAGTATTCAGAAATGATATAGTACGTCTATAGCCAGGAGATAGGAATGAGTTTCTATATAATTTTATAGTAGAAAAACTATTTTTAGTGTGCTTTGTATTCAGTCTGCATGAATTAAGGAGAATTTTATGCAGCAAGTTAAATTTTAATATTTCTATTTTTAAATATTTTAAATATTTCACAATATATCATTTTTTAAAAATATATATTTACTATATATTTAATCTGGGTAGGGTCTTTTTTGGTTTTGTTTTTTGTTTCATCCTTGAATGTATTTGGCTTTGTTAATGGAGGGTTTTTTATTTTTATTTTATTAGAACAAAATGAAAAATGTCTATTACTGGTCATTTCTATTAGAGAATATTGATTTTCAAAAATTACCTTTTAGGGTAAGAATTTAAAATTATTTTCATCTTTTTCTGTATTTTTTTCTCTCTAGATATTTTTTGCCCAAAGAGAATAGATTCATTTGTTGATGTCCGATTGGAGATATTCTTTATGTAATTTTAAGAAGCAAAGGTACCCCCCAAAGTACCTGGGTTAGTAAGACTATAAGGAAAAAGGAAGGATGTTAGCACAATGCTGCTAAAAACTAATGAATCAAATTTGTGGTCCTCTAAGCTGGCAGAAGGATGACATATTTCAGTCGAATAGTTTGCACATTGTAGAAATTAAGGTATGCAATTTGCAAGAACTCTTTTTAAAAAATTGTTTGAAAAGCCTAATTTTTGTTACTTTACAGATGTTCCCTTTAAGCAGACTTCTTCCATAGCTGTAGCTGGAGCTGTCATTGGAGCTGTTCTTGCCCTTTTCATCATTGCTATCTTTGTGACTGTGCTCCTGACTCCTCGAAAAAAGAGACCATCCTATCTTGACAAAGTGTAAGTAACTTTTTTGCCTATGAATATTTAGCATGTGTCAGTCTTTATATCTACCTTTACAGCTACTCATATGTAAAGTGTTTAAGGGAGGGAAGTAAGGATAACGTTAGGCCTTCATTAGATGATACTGGTTTTATTAGACCATTTCACACTACATCTTGGTAAATGAGCGTTGTCAAGGGACTGCTGGAGGTAAACAATAGCTTTCTTTTTTTTTCACCTACAATATATTAGACATCTTTCTAAATGGCAACATAATAATACTTTGTCGTGCCTTAATAGAAATGTGGACCTTTGATGAAGTAGCTGAAAGACATACAAAAATATTTTTGAAGTCTTCTTCCAATTGTATATGTGTGTCTTATGTTTAGATATAACTTTGAACTATCAAGAGTTATTAAATGAAGTTGTTTTTTGTTTTGTTTTGTTTTGTTTTGAGTTGGAGTCTCACTCTGTCACCCAGACTGGAGTGCAGTGGCCGTTCCCGGCCACCACAGCCTCAACCTGCTGGGATCCGGCGATCCTTCCGCCTCAGCCTTCAAAGTAGCTGGAACTACAGGCGTGCACTACCATGTCCAGCTAATTTTTGATTTATTGTAGAGATGAGGTCTCGCCAAGTTGCCCAGGCGGGTCTCGAACCTG